TAACTCTTGCTACAATGGTCCGATTGAGCTGAAATTTTGACACAATGCAGAAGACATCTAGATCTACAACTTTCATGTTTTGCACTTTTTCAGATTCAAAGTTTATCATGATCAAAAATAAGGAAAACAGTAAGTCTGGAAAACCCCCAAAACAGACGATGAACAGTAAAAGTCGGGATTTTTGGGTTTTAAAACATCCATTCCAAGCCCTATTTCTCCCATTCTTCATTTCCCTCCCACTCTAAATACCTTAGAGCCCTAAGAGAAGAGAAAAGGGAGAGAAAAACACCAAGGTCAAGAGAGATTCCCACCTCATAAAGATCAAAACCGAATTTCTCAAGTTTTCTCTTCTCCACCCATTTCTTTTGCTTCTATTCCTCAACCACTCACACCCAAATCTCTAGAAATCCTAGGAGGACGAAATTAAGAGGAAAAAGGAAGGAGAATAGGAAGATTTTGAATCTTGGGTCTTAGATTGAAGCTACAACCAAGAGGTAGGGGATTTCTTCCTAATTTCTTACATTGAGGCTAGGGTTTATGTATATACATATGTTTTCCACTCCCATCCATATTTATTTGATATGATTTGTATGATTCTTAATTCTCCTTGTAATAAATGCTATGTTTGAATAATGGGATGGTTTGGTAACCATTAAATTTCTCTTTTTCATCTTCCAAACTTGGTTTTAAGAAAAATTGAGTTTTCTCCATATATTGCCTTGGTTCTCACTTTATAAATTTAGTGTTCGATATTGTTCAACGAAAATGATCTTTATATTGATCTTTTGCTCATTTTAATTCCATCTTGCTATGACGCTTTACTTGTGAAATTTGGGTATTTTGCGATTAATTGGTAAAATGTGAATTGATTGAGAATATGTTGGTTTACTCATTGTATGGTGGTTGTGAGGGACTTGGATTACCTACGAGATATGCCGTAGAGTGTAAATGTCAGTTGAACCCAGTGGGGGGGGAGATGGTTTCTTGCACTTGTAGTGAGTTGTCATTTGGTAATGCGACCACTATCGTACGCCTGGAGTTCGAACTAGGGTTGGTATACCATTCCTGGGGAGGGACTCGTCACTGCCATTGGGATGGTAGACGCCCCTTCCCTAAGTACTTGTGATTGTGATTATAAAAGGGTGGACTAGGTATAATCGTTGGGTAGATTCATGAGAAACAATCAACATACATGGTACGGGGATGAACCAACATAAATGTGATGATTGGCTGGAATGGCTTGGCCGGTGCATTGGTATGAGACGATGCATCGGAGGGAGCCCCTCCTAATTGACTTAATGTTGGAAATGGTTTGCTATGGTTAAACTTAATTTATTTCTCTCCTTAACTACTGTATGGCTTAAACTTGAGATCTATTTAAAATGTCCTGTTTTACTTCAAATTCATATATGTTATTTATGAAATGTGACCGACCAGTTTTGTATTTTATAAACCTTGTTGGAGTTGGGAAGATTTTGCTACAGAGCCTAGTGTTCATCCCCTACTGTTAACATTTTTTCAGACTATATCCTTGAGGAGGAGCCAGGAGTCGAGGAGCCCGTTCTTTGGGAGACTCCGATCGACGGGAGCGTAGATCCCGAGGTGGACGCCTAGAGCGGCCCTTCTATTTTGTTCTAGACTAGGCTATTTTTTTTGGAAAGATTGTAAAGTCTAGTTATCTTTTGAAATTCCGCTGCTTATCATAGTTTAATTCTTTGGGAATGTACATGCCATTGTGGGCATATTTTTTTTGGGTAACATGTAAATCTGATGGATTGATTATATAGTAGTTAATTGGACTCGGTGTGGTCATTATAGTAGAATTGCACAGGTTGGATTTTGTGGTAGAGCTCCCCGTACAAAGGAGACTCTGCCCGAATTTTGTTAAAATATCAATGGTTGATGGATAAAAACTTCTTATTTATGGATTTATTTAGTGCTCTCATGATTGTGAAAGGTTTTAGAATGTAATGCCGTCCGAGGGGGTATTTGGGGCGTTACAGTGTTTGTTATTAAGTTTTTTGTGGTATTGTGTATCAGTTTCGAAATTCAAACTTGTAAATCTAGCAAGTTGGAATATACTGGTCATTTATCTCAAACGTTGATTTGGTAGGTACACAAATTAGATCACAAATTCTACGTATTCATTGATTGGTTTAGGTTTATTTTCGCTATGGCTTATGTAATTTTTGAATTGTGTTTGGTTTATGCAATTTTTGAATTGTGTTTGGCGTTTTAGTGTAGCTATCTGATGATTTGTGTTTTTAGTGTTCCTGTCTGACGATCTGTATTTTTACTATACATGTCTGATGATTTGCATTTTTAATGTACATGTTTGACGATCTGTGTTTTTAGTGTACATGTCTGCCGATCTGTGGTTTTACTGTACATGTCTGAAGATTTTTGTTTTAGTGTACCTGTAGAAGCTTTTAGAATAAACATTTTAATTAGGTGATGACATTGTCGTTATTTTTGCAATTTTTAAAGAGCGTTAGTTTTGTCTATTGTTTTGACTTTTCAACAGGGACATAATCCCAAAAAAAATAAATTGACGAGTGAATTTTTTTTGGAATTCTATTGGGCCTAGGGACGGGCCTCCAAATCCCTCTAAAATTTTTTGTTTGGTCCAATGTTTAAATTAATAAATTAGTTAAAAAAATTTTAAATTGTGGAGTGGATCCCAATATTTGTCCATTTTGCAAATTATAAAAATAGATTCATGGATTTAAAATTTTGAATTTGCGAATTTGTGTCGCATCCACTCTGAATTTGCAGATTGCGATCTGAGTGCAGGGTTATATTTGATCTTTCATCTTCAACCCATCTGCAAAGGGTAGAATGAAGACATTAGTGTGAAATACCAACACAAAGATGCTAAGAGATTTTCAGTAAGAGAGGGACATACTCAAAGAGATGCTTAAACCTCCTTGAAAATTGGCACAACAACAGGTAGACGCTAAATGGTAATCTCAAATCGCAAATCATCAGGTATTTATCTGTGCTTTCCCGTAAAATATTGGGTTTGTCAGAGCATCTCCAAGTGAAGAGGTAAAGTACACAAAAACTTCAAAATTTAGCTATTTCACCCTAAAGAACATCTCCAAAATATCTAAAATAATATTTTGCTACAGTGACACTCTATATTTAGAGAAACACTATAGCCAAAGTTATAAATACTTAATAATATTTTCTCTCTCCTCTTTTCCTTTCTTACACACTCTCTCCCCCTCTCATTACTTCCAAAGAAAAATAATACAAAAAGAATGAGAAATAATATTTAAAAGAGTAGTTAAAAATATAGAAAATATGTTATAGTGTGTATTAAAAAAGTGAGTAGCTAAAATAAAAAATATTACTTTTTGAGCAGGTAAACTAACTTTTGTTATTGGAGATGCTCTTATAGTTAATATGCTTTGAAATTTGTATTTTTTTAGGGGTACAATTTACTAGTTTTAGTTTCTATTTTTTAAGTTTACAACAAAAGGGTTGGACCTTGTAGATTTGGTTTTTTGTTTGTTTTGTCTTAGTTTTACAGAAATTTATTTTTTATCTTGCATGGATATTCCTACACAAGTAGGGGTGTCAACCTTAACCTGTTGATACGAACCCGACACAAACGACTATAAAATTGACATGATTATTAAATATGTATAATAAATAGTCTAAACTAATGTTTAATATTCAGAACACACTAAATATATTTTTTTCCATGGGTCTTGACACGAACACGCCATGAATAACAGTGAAACGACACGAATAACACGACATGTGGGTCATACGAACACGACACGATTGACACTCCTATATATAAGGGTGGTTCGAGAACATATGACGCCTAAAGCATAAGTCTCAATGAGACTTTTTTTAATTGATAGGATGACTTTTGATCACAAATATTTTGATAGGATTATAATTTACTTCCTCATTAATATTTTTATGCTCTTCTTGCTTGTTTTGTACATTCTTCATCGAAATTGTGGTATTACATGATTTACTACCATTGCAAATACATTAATTACTGTCTTTTTGTTGAGTTATTCTACTATTTTCAAAATTTTTAAGATCATTTACTTATTTATATTTTCAACTTCTACCTAAATTTTTGTTATATTTTATTTTCTACAAGTGACAAATTTATCAAAAAGATATTTTTGAGATTAAATTAGGGCTAAAGGCAATTTGCCCATGAAAGATACACAACTTTTTAATTTGCACCCTCAAAGACTTAGATTTTCAATTTGCATCCGCAATGTGTCAAAAACGATGCAATGTGCACTACTCCCAAAAGTTCATTCGCTTTGTCGTTTGAAAGCACAACACAAGACTTAAACTTAAGTTTTGCAGGGATTGAATTGTAAAAACACCCTCCACCCTCCTTTGGCACCAAATCGATGTTGGTTTACCTACTTCTTTGTATAAGAGGAGGTTGACTGGTCTAAAAAGGTCTGCTGTGGAGGGGAAGGCAAAAAAGGAAAATTGGAAGGAAAAAGAGGAAGAAAAAGATAGCAAAGAAAGCCAAAAATGGAAGGGGTCTGCTACTGTGGTCGAAGGGTAACAATGAACGCCTCATGGACAAACCTAAACCCTAGGAGGAAGTTTAGGGCTTGCGATAATTATGCGGGATAACTTCACATCTCATTAGAAATTTAGCAATATTCTTGCAATTGGTGAAAGAAGATGTGGTCTGAATGACAGTTTCGCACACCCATTCTTCATACATTATGGATTATGCTTATTCTCTTTTAGTCGATTTTTTTAAATGTATTGTTTTGAATTTTTATTCCATTTTTTCCTAAAGTTTCTTTACATTTTCACAAAAATCTTATAATTTAAACAAAGATTTGTATTGTGCACATGTAGGAAGGTGATCCATGTGGTTATTTTGCTTAGGTTGATCCACTTATGTGTATCCAAGCACGATAGATAATACCCGGTTTATTGCGCCGTATAAGAAACTTGGAGACACAACTGGAGAGACGCAGTTTAAGGGTAAGAATGCCATGGGTTTGTTTGGTTGGTTCTTGGTTGCTCATGATTCTGATTTATTGTAATAAGAGTGACCTCTATAGATGGTGTTCATGGCCTCTAAAATATAGATGATTTAGCTGATGATGGAGATGGTTTGGTAGAAGATGTTGTTTTTAGTGGCCTCCACCTTGTGTTTGGTCCTACTATTGTAGTTGAAGATGGTGGCCTCCACATTATGTGTGTCTAGTTGGTGCAGTTGGCCTCTATATTGTGTGTGGTCCAAGTGGTGCAGATGTATTTTTGTTCCTCATAACCTAGTAGAATGTAGCAATGTCAGTTAGGTATGGAATAAGTTGCGCAAACATGAAAATAAGCTAAATTTCAGATACAATTACACATAGGCAACTTCATTCTTGGTGTTTTGACTGAAGATGGAGATGATAAAATTAGTGGAGTTGCAAATGCTGTTGGTAATGTCATAGAACTTGATACTGTAGATTATCCTGGTGGTATGGTAGCAGAGTGTGTTGGTGGTATGGAAGCCGAGTGTACAGGTGGTGTTGTTGCAGCTAGTGTTTGTAGCTGCTGGCTTCTTGCACTTCCTCTTGTTATGTCCAATTTGACCACACCTTGAACACACAATCGATTTATATTTTCTCCTCAATTTGTTACCATTAGGTGGTTCAATTTGAACACATAATTGACTTGGGTTGTGTCGTTGGCAGTGGGTTGAGCCATGGCAAAGAAGAGCAAGATGTGAGAGGTAAAAGAGAGTTGTAGGGTAGAAAGAGAGAGAGGGTGGTCACGGCTATGTTATCGGCTGAGTTGGGGTCTTTTGAGAGAGAGAGAGAGAAAGTCTGATTGGGGTCGGGTAACATGTAGGAGTTAGGTAACTTATTAGTGGGTTTAATTTTTGGGCGAGATTTGACATTTGTATGTGATGCATTTTGAGCCTTTGGATTAGGTTGGAATAATTATGATGAAATTTGGGCCTTTAAATTAAAAGTGGATTTAATCTGTCCTTGTACTTTTTCAAATGAATTCAATACGAATTAAATTTTGAAGTGAACGTAGATTCAAAATTGGTTCTATCTTATTATTACAGGTATATCTGAGTGTGTGTGAGAGAGAGAGAAAGAGAGAGAGAGAGAGATAAAATAGTCCAAATCCGTATTAGATATGATAAGGAAATAATTTTAATGCTAACAAAACTCCTAAAATTGAGGAGTTGTTAGTTTTCAAATTTGTTTTAGTTAAATATAATCTCTTAGGGTATTTTGGACCATGGAGATTAAAATGGACTTATTCCCAAACAAATTTTTTTGAGTGGACTTAAGTCCACAAAAGGTGACCAACCTCCAAATTTTTTAATGAATTTTTTGGGTATAGCTATATTTTTTTAGACTTATTTGAGAGGAAGTGTATAGATAAGTATTTAACTCTATTAAGTTTAATTTTAATAAAACTTCTTGTGATTAGGTACAAAATTCAAATGACATTGAATTTTTTTACCTACTTATCTTTCCTTAAATTATGCATAGTTTTTATTCTCTCCATCTTTCTCTTGCCCCCTCTCTCCGTTACTCTCTCATTATCTCTCCCATATTTTCTCTCAATCTCTCTCTTCATTATTCTCCTTATCTCTTCCCCTATTTTTTCTCACCGTTACTCTCTCTCTCCTTGTTTTTTCTCTTTCTTTATGCCAACGTTATAACAACACAATTATAGAAATCAGTTACAATTGTCATATAATATACCAAACAATTATTCATGTGTTCTAATAAACGAAACAGTTACATCAAACAATTACAAAGAATTATGATACGAACCCAATTTGTCATTTAGTTGTTTACATAAGCCAAAGAATTACACCATTTACTATCATGATATGGTTACACCAATTATATATATCAAATTTTCTATAATGATAAATCAAATTTGGTGTATATAATTGGTGTAACTATATCCTGATACTAAATGATATAACTTATTGGTTTATGTAAAAAACTGAATAACAAATTGAGTTGATGTTGTAATTTCGTGTAATTGTTTAGTGTAACTATTTAGTTTATTAAAACACATGAGTAACTATGTGATGTATTATCGGGTAATTATAACTAATTGGTGTAACTAATTAGTATAATTATGTTGTTTGTACGTTGATATAAGAAGAGAGAGAGTGAGAGAGAGAGAGAAAGAATAAGGAGAGAAAGAATAATGGTGAGAGAAAAATAGGGGGAAAGAGACTGCGAGAGAGAAAAATAGGGGAGAGAGATTTGAAAAAATTAAATCAAATCTTTAAATATTTAAAAAAAATTAAATTATCAATATGAGAGAGAGGTACATATAGAAAAAATAGGGGAGAGAGTGAGAGAGTAATGGAGTAATAACTAGTCTTTTAGTATTTTTTCAAAAAAATGCACTTAGGGTCAAAGAAGTTTTCTTAATGTAGTTTAGCTCAATTAAGTCCAATTTTTTATACCGGCTTCCAAATTTCCTTTTTTTAATTATTTTTGTTGGCTTACTCTTTAAGAAGCATTTTTGTTGGACTAAATTGTAATGGGTTTTAATCTGTGACTTGCATTGCATTACTGAGCTCTCAAATTTAGGGCCTTATTTGTGAATGGGGCCTAATGCCCATAATTGTTTTCTCAACGGTTGAGCCAGCAATGTTCCTACCATTTTGTGAGCTCCACGTTAAAAAGCCTCAATTTATGTTTTGTTCAATATACAAATGCATATTGGGATGCTTTTTTTATTCAAAACTTTTCCTCATGTTCTTATGTTATTGTTCATTTTGGATGCATAGTGGGAGGCTTGCTCTGAGATTGGGATCAAAAGTGATGAGGATATTGAAGTTGATCTTGATTTTTCAGACTTGGATGACAAGTGCATATGGTATGAGTGATGATGACTTGTATGAAAAAATGTGCTCAAAGGTGTTGAGTGGGAAGGTATGCAATCTAAAACTGTGGACAGTTACATGAACATATGGATACAAATACAACAACATATAGAAATCATCATATGCTTTCTTATGAAGAGATTTTTTTTTTTTTTGGTTCAATGATTAGAAGTGTCTGGATTAACTTACTCGCACCTCGACTAATCCTCTCCTCGGTCCGGCTAAAAGCAAACCATCCACGCAAAAAATAGGGTATTCACGAGGGATTTATTCCCCATGACCTGGCCCCAATGAGAGAATGGATTAGAAAGCGGAAAGTGAACATATATAAGTCAATTAATACTTTCATTATTTAACTACAACTTGGCAAAATTAAATTTGTTTGTATGCAGGTAAAGAAGAGCAAAGGTCATGGAGAATCATTATCTGAATCTTCCCCCAAGGACCCCCTTTAGTTCCACAAAAGCCAGCTGCAAAACCTTTTGTCTTGGCAAAGGCACCATCCACAGGTTGAAATACCACCGTCCCACGCCAGCACCATTCCTTTATAGAGGACAACTTTGTGCCATATTGTCCTTTTTAAGAGCTGCAAGTTCAAAGCAGGCACACTCTGATGGTAGCAACCTTAAAGAAGGAGGGCTGCTGTTCTATTTATTTTTTTTTTTTGGTTATGTACCAATGCATCAGACTTGTGCTTTTGAAGTTGGTTGTGTTGATGGTGCTTCTGATGCAGCACACTTATGTCTCGTATTGATGCAACATACTTATTTTTGGTCTTATAAACCATATGGTTGCTTTTGGACAAGACAGATTTAATTCGATTGCATTGAGGAGAATTGATCTATTATTGGGCAATTTTGAATGTGAATTGTTCTGTGATTATATCATAAAATTGTGAATTGCGATGAAGTTTGGATTTTATGATTAAATCATTGAATTGTGGAAATTATGGATTCGAATTTATAGAGAAAGTCATGGATTGCACTGTATGACATAGCCTGTAGCAATGAGTGAGCACCATGAATTAAAGAGGCAAGCCAATTCCAATCATAAAAATTAGATGATGATACTATGAATGTAAGAAAATTTTAGCTAAGCATTTAATCAAACAACTAAAATACAATTTAGATCTGCACCGACAATGATAAAATTTGCCTTCTTCTGCATTTCTCAACTGTTCTGTACTTCTTAGTTTTTCTTGTTCTCCAATTGTCTTTCGGTATTTCTCTCCGCGTATATCGACGATGTGCTCTGTAGCACATGGGTAGATCCAAGCTGAAAATATTTTGGTTGGACATTAAGTACCCCTCTGCCATGTCACGTTGCTATCACAACATTGCACTCAAATCACTATTTTAAGGGCAAAAATTGTTCAGGTTTAAACTTCAGGGGGCAAATAGAATTTGGATTCAAACTTTAAAGGGTGTGTTTTGCAAATTACCCGTATACTAAAGGGTTAATTACATATGCCTCCAACTTTTTCCCTTGTTGCAATGAACTCCCTGTAGTTTTAATTTCAACAATTTGCCCCTCCAAGTTTTAGATGGACCAAATTGAGTGACAGTACTAACGGAATTATGAACTTACCATTATACCATCAATATACCATCAATCTTTTATGTTTATTTTCTCACATTTTTCCAAGTACCCATTCGAGTTTTTAAACAAATAGAAAAAATAAATAAATTTGATGTCCTAAAAATACTAAATACAAAAACTTCTACCTCCAGTCTAATATCAACAAACCACACCACCAAAAAACAAAAAACAAAAAACCACGCCCCCTCCTTTGCAACAACGCAACCCAACACCACCAAATAGCAATTCGGCACCAACAAATCACCAACACATACCAACATCAACAAAAAAGCACACAAACGCACATACGCCCAAACCCTAAAGCTCCCCCCTCTTATTCTTCTTCGACTTCGGGAGTGATTTTTCAATAACCTCAATTTTCTTTCCACTTCAAATCTGCAACAACCGGCGCCACCTAAAAATATCAATCCCAATTCTGCAACCCAATAACATATATATATATATATACACACACACACACAAGCCAAAGTCCACACCCAAATCCATAGAACAAAAAATTCGAGTGAGAAATTAATAATTGATTTTGCTGCTATATCATTATCCTTTAAGAATGAACTTTTGTCTTTGTACAAGTCAAACAATTTTTTCATAAGTTCAAGGTATATCCTATTAATAGCACCATGAGTTTTTCACCAATCATAAAACCAATTAGGAAATTCCGTATAGGTTTCAATAAATTGGAAGAACCATGAATGGATTTTTTTTAAAAAGGATTACCTATGATTAGTTTATTAATCTGCCTTTTGGTTAAACACTTAGACGTAACATATCTAACTTTTTCAACATATCTAACTTTCCCATACTTAAAGTACTTGATAGACCTTTTGTCTTTTTCTTTGAATGATTTAGTAGATTTAGTGGATTTACTTTTATTAACTTTGTCTTCATCCCCATTCCTTTTAGGGAAGAGCTTATCCAAATATTCTTCTTGAGATTCATTATTTTTAATAGTAAGTTTTCTCTAGAAGATGTTCATCGATTATTTTATTGATTTGTTGATTTTTAGTTTTAGTTTGCTCTACTGGTTCTGTCTGGGATATTAATGACAGATTTTTTAATTTAGTTTTGAGTTCATTTATAAACTCTATTTCTTCTTCATCATA